TGCTGAAAATGTACTCACCCTCAGGCCATGCAAGATGTATATGAGTTTGTTTCTTCATTGGGACAGGTTTTGAGAAATGCAGCGTTACATCACTTGCTCACCAATGGAGTGAATGGGTGCTGTCAGAATGAGAGTCCAAACAGCTGATAAAAACATCACAGTAATCCACACCACTCCAGTCCAGTTAATGTCTTGTGAAGCAAAAATCTGCATGTTTGTAAGAAACAAATCCATCAAGGCGTTTTTTTAACTTCAGTGAGCTTGTTTCCAGCTAAAATACGAGCTCATAATCCATAATACTGCTTTCTTCAGTTAAAAAGTCATCTTGTATGAATCAGGAGAGAAATATAAACAGATAAAGCACCATTTACAAGCTAAAACAGCTCTAAACAAATATGTGGGTGGATTTGATATGAGAAGACAACGGGATGGACATTTTCACTGGAGGAAGCATTATTATGGATTATTGATTCATTTTGCCCAGAAGCGAAAGCTAAAACATCTTAATGATGGATTTGTTTCTTACAAATACGCAGCTTTTGGCTTCATAAGATGTGGATTATTTGTGATGTTTTTATCAGCTGTTTGGACTCTCATTCTGACGGCACCCATTCACTGCAGAGTGATGGAATGCTACATTTCTCCAAATCTGATTGATGAAACAAACTCATCTACATCATGGGCGGCCTGAGGGTGAGTACATTTTCAGCACATTTAAATGTTTGGGTGAACTATTCCTTTAATGTCATAAAGAAATGTTCCAGATTCAGGAAAGGTTCTATAAGCATAACTTGTTCCTCATTTTGTAAAAACAAACAAAAATTGTTTCATGTTTTGCATTGAATACGGAACATTCCTGAGACCTCGGCTTAATCAAACATGGCAAGGTTGACTATGCACTGCAGCGTTTCCATAATCATCTCCTCCTTTTGCCGTGTCTTTGCCCTTCAGCCCACCCTTGCACAATTCATGCATATTCATACTGTGGATATAGTTGTATTCATCTCCATATTCATTTAAGGGGTGGGAGGCGTGTCTCATGTCTCCTCCCCTCTTCCCCTCAGGACTGCACCTGTATCTCCTCCCACTCACAAGTCCAGTCCATCAGCATAGAGGAGCAGTATGAAGACATCAGCCATCAGTGCTCGGTCAGTAGTCTAATAATAGATCGTGGCTTCAGTGTGTTTGAAGGCATCAGGCAAGGATGCCCACGCCACCTTAAATCACAGACTCTGATTTAAAATGAATGACTTCCGTTTGCTTTGTCACTGCAAATAGTTGTCAGTGTGAAAAGCCCTGTAGGATATGAGAGAGCACAGTCATGCCAGAGCAACATCGTTGCATATTCACAAACTCCAGTGAGCTTCAGACTGCTGTTTTCCTGAAGTGTGATCTGAGATTTGAGTGGATCCATTGTGTTGGGCATCACAAAGCAGTGTTTCTGTTCCATGGTTCTGGATGAAAGCTCACTTGTGCTGTTGTCCCGTGTCTTTGGCTGAAGGAGATATCTGTGGGTTGTCTTTAGGTATTCCCACCCTGTGGCAGAAATATTTGCTGTTTGACTGCAGCAATCTGGGTCACTTTCCCATTCATGGTCTAAAGAGGCTTTTCAGAAAATTATTCAATAAACAGTTAAAAGCTTAAGAAGTTCAAGTCTAAAATGTTATAGTGTCGACGTGTTTATAGAAGCTAACTGAATAATAACAAATCTGGTTTAATGGCACAGAGATCAGAATATAACTCTATCACCCCCTACAGTTCAGAGTTATGTAATGCATGCATTTGATGCACTGATGAATCGCACGCAGCATTCGAATATTACAGCATTATTCAAAGCAAAAAAACCTGGAGGTTTAAGACTTGTACTTATGAGGGATTGAATGACCTTGGAGTAAAGCATTACAAACTATGAAATTAATCACTAAATTTAATCTTTTTTTTTTCTTTTCTTTTTTTCTTATTAGAAAACACTACTACTGTAGCTCAATGACTCTAGCAAAAACCAAGGTCATGTGTTTTAATCCCAGGGAATGCATGAAAAGATAACATGTAAATGCATTTTCTGAAATGCTATTTATGTTAGTCTCTTATTTCACTAATACCTTTAAATATTCTGCAACCTACTAACCTCCATCTTAACTAGAAATGGTCTGATCTGCGAAAGATCAGTGTTTCTCAGTAGTGTTATTTTAGTATTACTATTATAGTTTTTTTAATATTTTTGAATTAGCTTTTATTATTATATTTTAAGTTTTATTTTAATTGTAATTAATTTTTATTTATGTTATGTGCTTTTGTATTTATTTTATTTTTTTATTATTTAGTATTATCTATCTTTACTTTTATTTATTTATTTATTTTTTTGGTTCAATTTATTTCCAGTTTCTCATTTTCATTTTAAGTTTCTCTTAAAATATTTATTATATATTTAACACTTTAGATTAGGGAACACTATTCACTTTTAAATAGTTTCTTATTTTTATCTTATATCTTATTGCATATTACTAGCATATTGGCTGTTTATTAGTACTTATAAAACACATATAATGCATGACCATATTCTAGGTCCTTTAACTCTACCCAATACATAATCATAACTACTACAACAACAACCTTACTTACTATCAACAAGCAGTAAATTAGGAGTTTATTGAGAAAACTCTTAGTTAATAGTGAATGTGTTCCCAAATCTAAAGTTGTACCATATTTATATTTAATGTATTTTTATTTCAGCTTTATTTCAGTTAACATTTTTTTTAAGTTTTAGTTAACAATAATAACCCTTTTTCTCAGTCAGTATTATCATGCAGGATAATAAAACTGATCTGAGACCAGAAAACTTCTCTTCCTCTAGCATCACATTAGTGTTAGTCACAGGACAGGAAGTGCCTTATTAATTCTATTTACATTTTATGCCTTCACCAGAATTACAACCCTAACTATCATTGTGTGGAGGGTTTTAAATATGAGGTAGAGTTGTGTGTGTGTGCACTATATGTTTATTTGTGTGGTGTGTTTATGTGTGTGACAGAGCAGTGATGTCTCTCCGTGTTCTGTGTTGACGGATGAAGATGACATCACAGATCTTTCCACTGACCCCGCCCACTATCAGCTGCTCTCACAAATGGGTAGGGACCGTGACATGCTTTATGTAGTATGATGTGTTAGTTATTCCCTGAAGTCTCATGTTTATATCATGTAGCGTAGATTGAGAAGTATCACTGTGTTTGTGTGTTTTGTGTGTGTGTGTGCAGGCCGGGGCTTTAATAACCTCAGTCAGGTGAGCATGGCACGACACACACTGTCTGGCCGGCTGGTGGCGGTAAAAAACACTAACCTGGATGAGTGTACAGAAGATGAGCTGCTGCAGCTGATGGTGTGTACATGCATATGTGAACATCACACTGATTTCTACTGTTTTCAAATGAAGCTTTATTAGATTTTAGATTTTAATAAAGCCTGGCATATGAAATTATAGTCACATTTTTTAAAAATCAAATTGTCTATTGAAACTTAAATATCTTATTATTTATTAAATATAAATAAATATTATAACTAAAATAACTACAAATATAAATAAAATGTAATATCTAAATAACTTTTTTGTGTGTAATTGTTCATATTTGATACATCAGGCTTTTATGTAATTGTGAAATGGTAATTTATTTTATATATGTGTATATATATATATATGTATGTGTATGTGTGTGTGTGTGTGTGTGTTATAAAATAACAAATACAATAAATATTATTTAAATATATAATTTGTATATATTATATACTGTATATAATAATACATTTATAATTGATATTATTAATATATATACTGTGTATATATATATATAATTATTCTGAAATAACAATAATAATAATAGACATATGTATATATAATTATTCTGAAATAAAAATAATAATAATAATAGACATGTATATATAATTATTATTTTTAAATAATAATATTTATATTATTATGTTTACAAGAGCATTGTAGTGAAAATCAATTAGATTTTAATAATGAAAACATATTGCATACATAAAAAAATATGCATATAATGCCCATTTGCACCCACAGTAAAATGAGTACAATTTTTAGTATGTTTTGGTGATTTTTACTTTGACATGGAACTATTTTCATAGTGACTGTTGGTGTGTGGAATAAACCTTCAAAAATGACAAAAAAAAAGTAGCCCATAAGAAGCCATTCTATAAAACAGATCAACATTTGCATTATTATTCAAAACGAATATAACAGCATTTGGGTTTGTAACAACATGAGAGGGAGTAAATCATGACAGACTGTTAATTTTTTGAGAGAACTATTGCTTTAAGGCATTATTTGGCCCTGTAATGACGATTAAACCATTGGTTTAAGAGGATTGACTCTATTTGTGAGGACACAAATCTTATTCAGACTAGCCCATCATCATGCTATGGTATTTGTAGTTTATGTGTATTATTTTGCAGAATGAGGTTCTGCTGTCCAGACTGTTCCGTCACCCAAACCTGCTGACGTCCAGACTGGTGTTCAGCTCGTGCTGTCAGCTCTGGGTGCTGTCTCCTCTCATGAGCTACGGTAAGAGTCGCCTGTAATTTACATCCTCTTTCGTTTCCCATCCTTCCCTTGTTTCATTTCCCTCTCCGCACGCGTCTCATTCAGGCTCTGCAGACTCTCTGCTCAGGTCGTATTTTCCGGATGGAATGAGCGAGTCTCTGATGGCGTACCTGCTGTACGGGGTGCTCCGAGCGCTGGAGTACCTGCATCACATGGGTTACGTGCACAGGTGAGCACACGATGACTATTTGACAGAGACCTGAATGAATCTGGTCTCCTCATCTCGTGCGTCCTGCAGGGGTGTGAAGGCGAGTCATGTGCTGCTGTCAGCTGAAGGCCGTGTGTGTTTGTCGGGGCTTCAGAGCGTGTACAGTCTGATGAAGGATGGCAAGAGGATGAGAGCTGTGTTTGACATGCCTCAGCACAGCCCGTCTCTGCTGCCCTGGCTGAGTCCTGAGCTGCTGCGACAGGTGACGTTCACACACACTCCAGACACGAAAGCTCTTCCCAACAGTAGCGTTATAGACAGTATATAACACTAAACAATGTATAAACAGCGAGACAACTTAGTGTTTAAAAAAATTAGATTGTGGCACAGGTAATCTAAAAAATGAGCATGCACAATTAAATATCCAAAACTGTCTGATCTGCACACTACCATTTAAATTGATCAAAACCGACAGTAAAGACATTTATTAATGTTTATATATTAATGTTACAAAATATTTCTGGAGTAACAGCTGCTGAAAATGCAGTTTTGCCATCTCAGCAATAAATTACATTTTAAATGATATATTTACATACAAAACAGTTATTTGAAATATTTACAATATTACTGTTTTTTACTGTATTGATCAAATATAAAATAAATGCAAGTAAATGCAAAAAAAAAAAAACTTTCAAGTCAAGTCACTTTTATTTATATAGCGCTTTTAACAATACAGATTGTGTCAAAGCAACTGAACAGCATTAATTAGGAAAACAGTGTGTCAATAATGCAAAATGACAATAGTAAACACTAATTTTTCAGTTAAAGACAGTTCATCATTGAATTCAGTGATGTCAACATCCAGCTCAGTTCTGTTTAAATAGTATCTTTGCAATCATTTGCAATCAAGTCAACGGTATCGCTGGAAATGAAGTGTCCCCAACTAAGCAAGCCAGAGGCGACAGCGGCAAGGAACCAAAACTCCATCGGTGACAGAATGGAGAAAAAACCTTGGGAGAAACCAGGCTCAGTCGGGGGGCCAGTTCTCCTCTGACCAGACGAACCAGCAGTTCAATTCCAGGCTGCAGCAATACACAGCCCAAACTTTTAAAACATAAAATTATTCATTCATTCATTCATTCATTCATTAAATTTCAACTTACTTTATTTCAGCTAGTTGCCAACATTAAATGTAACAATTCTTACCATCTTTATTTTATTTTATTAACTTCAACTTATTTTGTTTCAGCTAGTTGCCAGTGCAACATTTCTCATTTACATTTAGTTTAACTTGATATACTAAATTATTTTGAAAGTAAAACTGAAATAAAAATGAATGAAACCTATATAGACATAAAAAACTAAAATGATAAAAATGCACAACAAAATTGCTAAACCTTTTACTTCAAATGAAAACAGAAAATGTGTATAAAATAAGATTAATTCAAAATATGAATAAAAACTATAATAGTACCTCTGTACTAAAATAACATTGATAAGATTACATTTAAATAAAATCACTAATATCGGCTGATAACTGATATAGTACTAATATATTGTACATTCTTATTTATAAGGCCTGGTCAATGTCAACACCAACATCAGTTCTAAAAACATTGAGATTTTTGTGTCTCTCTTTCTGTGATGAAGGATCTTCATGGCTATGGAGTGAAATCAGACATCTACAGTCTGGGAATCGTGGCGTGTGAGCTGGTCAGTGGCAGAGTGCCGTTCCAGGACATGCCGCCCACTCTGGTACTGCAGTTCTTCACATGTGCCATCTACTGCTCGCAACCGTGACTACCAAACACTCACTTCCTGTTTCTTCTTCTACAGATGCTGCTTCAGAAGCTGCGGGGTTCTCACTGCTGTCTCCTCGACGTCCCTCCTTATCCTCTCGGAGACATGGGTGCGCTCAAGGTGTCCCGCTCCGGTGTGGATTCGGGGATCGGCGAGAGTGTTGCGACCGGAAGTCTGACCCGTACTGCCACAGCGGAGAGACCTCAAAGCCCCGCCCCCAAAAACCACTCGGCCACACTGCACAACCTGGTCCAACTGTGCCTGCAACAGCAGCCTGAGCGCAGGTACACACACAGAGACCCTTAGCAAACGTTACAGCTCTGAATTAACAAATGCAGGAGAAGCTTTTTAGAAGAATTGTTCACAAGTTTAGAGTTGGTAAGATTTTTTTAATGTTTATAAAAGAAGTATCTTCTGCTCACCAAGACTGCATTTAATGGATCTTAAATACAGTAAAAACCGTAATGTGAAATATTATTACAATTTAAAATAATAGTTTTTTATTTAAATATATTTTAAAATGCAGTTTATTGCTGTGATCAAAGCTGAATTTTCAGCATCATTACTCCAGGCTTCAGTGTCACATGATCTTCAGAAATCATTCTAATATGCTGATTTGCTGCTCAAGAAACATTTATTATTATTATTATTATCAATTTTGAAAGTTTACTAATATTATAAGTGGACGGATTAGAGTTTATCAGGATTTTAGATTTTAGTAAACCCTCTGACATGAGCCTGACATTAAATAATTTTCAGAAAAAATTACTACATTTTAAAATCAAATTGTCTATTGAAACTTCATGCAATATATGCACAAATAATGTATTTTTGGAATAGGTATTTATATTTGATACATCAGGGTTTTATGGCTATCTATCTATCTATCTATCTATCTATCTATCTATCTATCTATCTATCTATCTATCTGTCTATCTATCTATCTATCTATCCGTCTATCTGTCTGTCCGTCTGTCTGTCTATCCATCCATCCATCCGTCTTATCTATCTATCTATCTGTCCGTCCGTTCGTCTATCCGTCTATCCATCTATCCGTCTATCTGTCTATCCATCTATCTGTCTATCCGTCTATCCATCTATCCGTCTATCCATCTATCCATCCATCCGTCTGTCAGTCTGTCCATCCATCCATCCATCCATCCATCCATCCATCCATCCATCCATCCATCCATCCATCCATCCATCTATCCATCCATCCATCCATCCATCTCTATCTATCTATCTATCTGTCTATCTATCTATCTATCTATCTATCTGTCTGTCTGTCTGTCTATCCATCCATCCGTCTTATCTATCTATCTATCTGTCCGTCCATTCGTCTATCCATCTATCCGTCTATCTGTCTATCCATCTATCCGTCTATCCATCTATCCATCCGTCTGTCTGTCTGTCTATCCATCCATCCATCCATCCATCCGTCCATCCGTCCATCCGTCCATCCGTCCATCCGTCCATCCGTCCATCCGTCCATCCGTCCATCCGTCCATCCGTCCATCCGTCCATCCGTCCATCCGTC